CCTCTTTTATGGCAACTTTCTTCTTTGGGTAATTTGCTGGAGTCGTCCGTTTATCTTCCGTGTCCCAGTTCTCACTGGGACCTGCCGCTTTTCCTCCCTATTATCTTTTTTTTTAATGGGAGATCTTACTCGCAGCGTTTCCTCGCCGCCATGTTGATCCGCCTCTTGCCATTGGGATTTTTACTGGATTGCATTGAATCAGTGAATTGTTGTGGGTAGGAAGGCCATCTTGACTACATTGATTCTCCTATGCATGAACAGGGAATCTTTCCATTTCTTTGTGTCTTCTATTTCTTTTAACAATGTTCGATGTTTTTCCTGGATAGGCCCTTTGCCTCCTTCATTAGGATAATTTCCAGGCATTTTTTTTTGATAGATTGTAAATGAGATGGCTTTTTAATTTCTTCTTCTTGCTCATTTTCTATAGCATTTAAAAATTTTTAATGCAAATTCTAGCCAAGTCAAAGGTATGGTCTTACTTTCTCCACCCTTTTCAGATTTTTACAGTATCTCCCACCAGTAATGTAATATGAATCCTTCCCAAGTTAATACAGTACATCCTCCTCCCTTTATAACAACATTCCTTTGTATAAAAGTTACGATAGTTTATGTGGTCCACTTTTATTCCACCCATAGTTGCTTCAAATGTTTTACTGTCATAAATAATGCTTCCACATTAAGATTTTTCACTTGTCTTTCCTTGCTAGCATTTTTTTCAAATTTAAATTTTTAATACTACCCTTTTCTGATCAGTTTAACATTCTCTTATCTACCTGTTAAGGTTCCTGAAAGTCTAATGGTACTTTTATTTTTTTGTATCACTCAATACTCATTTGTGGCAGGTAGACTTTTCCCTCATATGGTTTGTGTCTTGAGGGTGTTGAGCTTGATGGTGTTGGCATCCTAGGTAGAGGATGTCACTCTCTAAAAAAGACTGCCTCTACTAGGTGCTTAAGAAAGAGAAAATTCTTGATGTTAACTAACTTATAAGAGTGTATGTTTTCAGGGCACATAGCACAAATTCAAAATCCAAATATGTGAGGACAAGTTCCTGGTTTAACAGCTTTAAGGGAGTAATTCCTTTCTTGCCCACTCAGAGCTCAGGTCAAAATAACAGTGTCCCCTTCCCGTCCCTGTGCTGGGGAGGCATTTTTTTTTTTTTCCTTCTGCACCTTGTGAAAAAGAGTGCAGTCCTTAAAAGGGTCCTAGCCTTGTAATGGTGAATTATTTTCTGAGCCCCAATGTTAGCTGTACCACGTAGATTTTCAACTTCTTTTTTAGTTCTGAGCCACTGGAGTTTGCAATTTATAGTAAGCTGGTTTTTAGCCATGGTTTATTCATTCAGCATGTCTAGGTTTTTTTGAATGAAGTGTTTTAAGGTCTTTAGAAGCATTTTAAGTTAACCCACTGGAGCATAGAACAAGACAGTAAAGAACACGGATTTAGGCACCTGTTTATATCCTGGTTCTTAGCTCCAATAGCATAGAACAAGGCAGTAAAGAACTGGAGCATAGAACAAGGAGCATAGAACAAGGCAGTAAAGAACATGGATTTAGGCACCTGTTTATATCCTGGTTCTTAGCTCCAAATCTATAGTTTCCTCTCTAGGTATGTTTCTTCTTCTGTAAAATGGAGATAAAGCTGTGAAGTTTACATATATAAATAATATAAAATGCTTAGTATAGTATCTGGAACCTGTTAAGTATTTAATAAGTTACATTTTCACTTTTAGTAATTTTTGCAAATAGAATGCTAAGCTGGGAGAGTAGAAATGTCACATGCTGGCTTGGAAAAAGCAATAAAACTGCAATAGCAGGCAAATTTTCCTATTATGTATCTAATATATACATATTAGATGCATATATATTATTTACACAAAACACTTATTGTATATACATTATGTGACATTGTTATCTGTACAGATATTAATAGTACCACATTGACATCTAATTTTGAACACAATATATACTTTTAAGACAAAACACCCATTACCATCCATTAGACCCCCCACAACTTGATTCTGATCCCCACTCTTCACCTCCGGTAATTTTTAATGTCCATTACTTCTTAAATTTTGCTTTCATTTCTCTTGCTGGTGGTGCTGTCCCCAACATAACTGATGTCATGGAATGTATCACTGATGTTTTCTACTATGTATTTTAGGTCTTCAGGTCTTACATCCAAATCTTTAATTCATTTTTAATTAATTTTTATGGATAGTATGAATGATCCAATTTCATTCTTTTGTTTCCCCATCACCATTTAAGGGATTTTCTTTCTCCATTATATGGTGATACATCCTTTGTCATAAATTAGGTGTCAATTATGTGTGGATTTATTTCTGAGCTCTTGTTCTATTCCCTTGTCTATGTCTATTTTTATTCAAATACCATAGTTTTAATTGCTGTTGCTTATAGTTTAAAGCCCGGTAATATGCCTCTATTTTTCTTTTTCAAAATTGCTTTACATATTTTGGACATTTCATGGTTCCATATAAATTTTAGTATTTTTGGTTCTATTTTCTTGAAAAAATGGCATTGAAATTTTAAGATTGCATTGCATCTATCTGCACATTGCTCTTGGCAGGATGGCCATTTGACTATAATAATTCTCCCTCTATGAATGTGGGATCTCTTTGCATCTTTTTGCGACCTTGTTCTCTTTCAACTGTGTTATACTTTTCATTGTACAGATCTTTCACCTCATTTGCTAAATTCATTCTTAGGCATTTATTTTTTGTAGCAATTGTAAATGGGATGGCTTCATTTTTTTCCTTCTTCTTTTTAAGATTTATTTATACAAGCACTGGGGTACAGGCCAGAGATGCGGGAGGGTGAGAGAATCCACCAGAGACAGACCAGGGAGCAGAACAGGCAGAAGGACCGAAATACACTGCTGAGGGGAACAGTGGGCAAGACAGGAGAGGTCTGCTGCACCATGTGGGAATCTCCTTCGCTGACCGGGAATTGAACTGGCTATGGAGAGGCTGTGGACAGCTTCACAGCACTGCACTTAACCCGCTGTGCCACTGCAGCATTTCTAATAGTTTTCTGGTGGCATCTCTAGGGTTTTTAATATAATTGGCAAATAATGATTTTGTTTCTTTTCCAATCTGGACCCCTTTTCTTTCTTTTGTTAGCATGTAATTACACGGGCTAAGCCCTCTAATACTAAATTAAAATTAAATACAAGTGCTGAGAGTTGACATCCTCACCTTGCTCCTGATCTTAAAGGAAATTTTTTTATTACCACCATCGAGTTTGATATTGGCGGTGGGTTTGTAGTATGACCTTTATTATGTTGAACTGTATTCACAATACTTTAAAATACTGTTCATATATTTTGTTCAAATAATTTCAAATATTGCTCATGTTAAAAATAAGAACACAGCAGCATGATGTTTTTGAAAAGTTTATCACATGAAATAAAGTGCTATTTTGAGTATAAATCTAAAAAAGGGTTGAAGTTTGAGACATTTTTGTATAGAACTCTCTTAGCATTAGGGTTATTTAAAAATAAATAAGCAGTCTCACAAAATCTCTTGACTCTTAAGTAAAAGCAGAAAGTGAAGGCCTACTTAAGTTACAGAACAGAAAGGATTTCTTTATTGGGAGAAATTAGAAGTCAACAGTGAAATAGGAGAAAAACTATTTAGATAAATGATTTATGACACTAAGTTACCCCTGTGAATACTACAAAAAAGGGAGAGACAAAGGAAAACACTCAATAAAACTTTTTATATAAGCTAGGAGGACAGAAAACCAAATTATAACTTTTTCCCCACCTTATTAAAATTGAGTGACAGGAGCTTTCACTATGTCTGGATCCATTCCAGGCCAACCTTAAACTAGCATCAAAACTTTCAGCAAATGTATACTCTTGTGATTACACTGTCATTATCCTCATTTTCATTATAGACAGTCATTCAGTTCTTTAATCAAACAGTAAAGATAACAAACAAAAAGGCAGTCACAGAAAAGTCAGAATTAAATTTTATTTCACATTGCTGGAAACCATGAAAAAGGATTTATATATCCCACATTATAGCACAACATTTCAACGGAATTCCTGGCCATAAGTTAGAGCTTGCTAATTTGTGTAACTAAAACAGTTTACATTCTTGAAGGTAAAGCAAAATAACTTCATAAATGATTGTTTAAAAATTTTAAATCCAGAGATAAACATATGGCTTCACTGTTAACATTCTATATAGTCCATCACTAAATTATTTCCTTTATCAATTAGCACCCATTTATAAAAAATGCATTCTTAATGTTTTTTCAGTCAGTTGGAATACAGCAGAAAAGTGAACAGTTTGAGAACATTGAATGTACATTTTTGGTACACATTAAACTGTGGTAATACTACCAACTGTACTGAGTTCTGACTAAACTTTATTACCCATGTATCTGTTTTCAAATAATTTTTACCACTAATTTGAAAGCTTTGACTATTTAAAATCAAATAATTTCTATTTTTATGTTTGCACAAAAACTAGTTAAAAAAAATCACAACTAAAGTGAAAATTTCAATTAAGTCCACTGTCACATGACAGTAAAGCAAATTTTTCTAATGGATTGTTCATTTCGTACAGCAGTTGGTTTCAAACATATATAAAAACAAGTAAACTAATACTCTGTAAGGAGAATCATCTCAGAAGTTAAGATAAATTTTCAATATCCCAGAACATACTAGATTATGGCCTAATTAAATGTTCAGTTGATTACAGAAAATTAAAACCAAAATTACTTATTACCTAAAATGGCAATTCTAATAACTAAAGAGGTTTAACTCTGGGGACTAAAATATAGTATAAGAAATAAGTATAGGAAGTTTGAAGTGATGCCTGGTTTCTTTATATAAGTATAAATACATTTTAAACACCATATCTACGATTCAGAATATCAAATTACAGCATATATTTGACAGCAGATGTCTATGGCAAGGAGGGAATATTTGGTCTGTTATAAAGGTTAATAAAAGAACACATTTATTTTGTAGAGAGGAAAAAATTTAAAATAGAAATGCTAAGTGGGGAAAGAAAAGTCTGGTCCCCAAAATAAAAGGGCCACTATCTGAAAAGAAAACATTACTCCTTACTGACTTAGAATCATTATCCCTATTATTAGGAATAATGGAATACCACCTCATTGAATAATTTAACACCACCTCATCCTTATATATTGTAATAATTACGAATATTTGAATACATATATAAAAATACAGATACTACATGGTGACTAAGTAATTTTGGAGTAAGTCCACAGCCTAAGTCACAGCATGGATAAATTGTTTATATCATAACTGCTCATTTATACTTGGACAAGTTTTCACTAAGCATACTAATAATTTTCAAATGATATAATAAAAATTTGGTTACAGTATTTTATTATTTTGCTGAATTACATTTGGGAAAAGAAACTAGCTGATTCATCTATTTTAATACTAGTATATTCTGGATCATATACAAATACAAGTACAGAAACTTAAAGGATCATAAATTTCCCATGAGGAGATATTTAGTCTGTGTCATTGGTGTGCATTTGCAAAACTTTAACACTGCAAACATTAGAAGTTTCAAGATTGGGCACAGGAAAGGGTTTATATTCTACTACAATGATGCTGGTGTACTTCTATACAAGGCCTCTTAGTGAAGTCAATCAACTGGAGGTAGAAGTTTATCAATGAATTGCTTGATATCCATCATTTCCTGTTTGGAATAAAGTGGTTTTTAATGAACAGTTAAAACCAGAAATTAAACAAACCAGAAATTAAACACCTACTAAAATACCACTAACCTAAATCCATGTTATGAATTAAGATGACACCATATTTTTACTATTATAATTAAAAAAAATAGAGAAATGAGGTTCCAAATTTTAGAACTTTACCTATGATTATAATGGTATATTCAAATGATAACTCCCTTCTATTATCTAATCCCATAAAAATGGTCTGCATTTTTCTATATACTTGTGCAAAACAAAACACTGGTGGGGTGGGGAGGAGGATGGGTGTTTTAGAAGTGCCAATATCTATATGGAGAAGTCTTAGTCAATATACAACTACTTTAAAGTATCATTGGAAAAGTTAAATATTTACTTATTAGAATGAAATGCTAAATTCATAACATAAAATATTTTGTGCCTTTCATAAAGATTTATATACAACCATCCACCCATTTGAAAGAGAGCATGGAACTAAGTTAGGCCCAAAAAGATATGAAAGTGAACATACCAAATTATTTATTATGAAAATAACTTTTATAGAAGACTCCAGTAGCTGACTCCTTTTTCACACCTCCCTCAATCATATTTCCCTCTATTATCTCTAGCATTTCAAGGATTAAAGCTTCGCAGACTCACAAATTATCAATTAAAGAGAAACTGTGATTATAATTGGGTCACTGAGAAGAAAACTACAGCATGAAAGTAGTCTATTTTTCTACACTTTAAAATTCTGAAGTATGACTTGATTAACTCCTTTAAACTGAATCTCAATCAAATGCACTTATCTTAAAAATGCCACATGGAAAAAGTTGCCAGTATGTCCCTTTAATCACTGCTTCCAAACATTTACCTGGTGACATGAACTATGCATCATGCCTTCATAGGTTTTGAAGGTTACATTGGCTGGATTTACCAATGTTTTTAGTTTTTCGACAGTAAGAGCGCCAAACATTAGGGGAACTAATGGGTCACAATCTCCATGGCACTGGAGAACAGAAATATCTCTATTAATACCACTGATAGGACCCTGCAAAAAAACAAAACAAGTATTATTTATTCAAATGTATAAAACATTATGCCAGGCATTTAAAACTATGAATAGATGTACATGTACAATGTTATTATAATATTTAGCCACAGAAATTAAATTCCTTCCATCCCTATAATCCCCATATCACTTTATCTAAACTTCCAAAGCACATATGATTATCCTGTCTAATTCTGAACATTTTCCGAATGAATCAGTTCCTTTAAGAAGACTGTATATTAAGTATTAGGTATTTTCATTATCATGACATTAGAAGTACATTTTAGTTCAATCATGTTCTTCTAACTTATTTAACCACATCTCCCAAATGTACTATATACAGTAAGTTCTCACTTATCCTTATCCATAGGTTTTTGGAAACTGTGACCTTACATGAAAAGACACACAAATGAATTTGATCAAAGGCTAATTGATAAAACTAGTCATGTTCCTACAGCATAGCCACAAAACATCAACAAATTTCTAAATAAATACCCAAAATACTTGTAATATTAAACAAAAATGTGTAGTCATCCATTCATCTTCCAATCCCCTTATTCCATTTCAGGCTCACGAGTAGTCTCAGTCTATCTGGGAAGAATGCAAGATGGGAACCAACCCTGGACAGGAAACTCTTCCATCACAGGTGCACTCACATACCTACCCACTCTCACGCCATCTGTGACAACTGAGAAATGCCAATGAATCTCATGTGCACATCCTTAGGAGTACACGAGAAAACAGGCAGATGTGGGGAGAATGGGCAAACTCCACACAGATAGTAGCGTTGGCTGGGAACTGATTTTTTTTAAATCAATGTTATAACAAAATGATGAACAAACAATATTATTCAAGTACCTACTGCTAAGTATATAAAAAATCATATTCTGTGGCAAAATTCTGCTATCAAACAGCAAATTCAACATTCAAAAATATTTCTATGTGCAAAAAATAAATCATTTCATATATATGACCCTTCAAATGTAAAGTTTGAAGATAATATAGTATACAGATAAAGCCTAATATATTGTAAAGGTCTAAGAAAATTCTTTAAAAATGGTTACTAATGTAAATTATGGGTTTCTGATGATAATGATGAGTCTGTGGGGTCATCAACTGTAACAGATGCAAGATGTCAATAGTGGAGGAAGTTGCATGAGTATGGGGGGAGGAGGTATTATGGGAAATTTTTTCTATGCAATTTTGCTGCAAACCTGAAACTGTCCTAAAAACTTTGGGTTTATTAATTTTAAAAATAAATAAGACGATACTTTCCACAATATTAATGTTTCATGTATTAATCAGGATACCTGTGTAAAAGAAGAACGCAGAGGAAGCCAGCAACTGAGTGCGGTGACCCCTGCCAGTTTCTGCTGTGTGGTAAGAGCAGTGTACAAAGATAAAGCTCCTCCCTGGAAAAAGAGGTAGAGAAAATTAATAGAACATATCCTCTGCTACAGTAACTTAAGAGATTTCTCTATATTTAATGTCCATAAGAAAGCAAACTGGGAAGCTGATGTCAAATCAAACCGGCAAACTAATAGAAATACATGTACACTTCACCATGTCCTAAAGGATATATTCCTTACAGTGAAGACCACACAACACAGTGACTACCTGATCAGTGTCAAGACATAGTTAATAGTAAAATAAACTGCTGCATTTACAACTGTCTTAGGAATATTCTGAATTTATAAATACCATATTCTCTTCTGAAAAGTCATAGGTATAAAATCAAATCTAGCATTACACTGGTATTGTTTTCCAAAATAGGTATTCAAAATAATAAGTACTATGGAGAAGATACCATTAAAATATCTGCCTTCCCAGCTCACAACACCCTGTGCCTGGAAACTATATTCCTTCCTCAGTCATCAAGATGACACATCAACACCTCCCCATTGCCCCTCTGGCCTACACTCCAGTTCCTCCATACAAAACTAATAAAATAAAACAAAAATTACTTCAAAAATTTTTTAAAAGAAAACCTTAAAAAAAAAAGTTATATTTGTGTAGAAGAACTGGGATGTAGGCTGGGGGTGGGAGGGTGGGTGGGGTGAGAGAATTCGCCAGAGACAGAGTGGGGAGCAGAACAAGCAGATTTACTAAAACACACTGCTAAGGGAAGCAGCACAGGAGAGGTCTGCTGCACCTTATATGGGCTAGTTCCCTGGCTGGGGATCAAACTCAGGCTGTAGAGGTGATAGCACTGAGACTTAACCCCTAGGCCACCAGGGAGGCCCAAAATCCTATTTTACATGATAAAAAGAGTAAAGAAATTCGATTGTCTTCTGGCTCTATGTTCCTATCAGTAGTGCCCTCCTAGGATGGAGGATTTATACCTATCTTTAAATTAGAATTTTAAAAGGATACATAGAACTAGAAACATATTGACACATATATGTATTTATATAACATATATATGGTTATTTTAAGAAACTATATTCCAGATTCCAATCAATTTATTTAACTTGTTTTCAAGGCATAACCTATAAGGTGTAGGCTACAAATGTAGGAAGAAAAGTAGAAAAACAAAAGAGAGTATGAAGTGCTTTATTAGTAATTGTTTCTAGTCCAAACTTAATTCAGCATCAAAGTAGTATATAATCAAGACTCAATATCCTCTAAAAAACAAATTCCTCCATAGAAAATGGACTGAAACCACTACTTCCAGATAAATATACTGATTGTAGTGACATACAAACCAAACTTTCACGATCTTACCTGAGAAAATCCTCCTACAATAATTCTGTCAGAAGGAATGCCATTCTTCACTTCTTGATCTATCAATGCTTTCACTAAAAACATGGAAAGTAAATCACTAATATTCTCAAAGTTAAGCCAATGAATACAATTTAAATAGGAAAAATAACATAAAAGTAAAATATATAGTAAGGTGGAATGAGTGAAAAACTTGAAGCAATCCATTAAAATACAAAATAAGAATGCATTTTTTAAAAATAAAACTCAGATTTCACAGGTGCTGCTTAAACTTAAATTATTTCTTGTTTTATAGTTTGGGGACTACAGTTCTTTCTCTCATTAATAAATATTCCTTTTTTATATAGTCAATTCTGCTCATATGTGTTTGTTTTTCTCTTATCAATTAATTGCAGACATTTTTACCTAGAAGTTGTTACTTTAAATTTGAAGTAGTTAAATAATTATATGGTTTTGGGTTTACAGTGTTTAAACAATTCATTCTATTATTTAAAAACACATTAATTTTTCCTATAGCCAGTAAGTGACTGGAGAAAATCAAATGAGGACCTCAGTTTCTGCAAAATACTTTGACACACATAATTAAACATACTTCTTGATTACTCTTAGATTTTACTTTGCTTTTCAATTAGTCCTGTATTTTTTTTTTATATATTTAAAGAACAGGCTTATTAGAAAAGGGACAGAAGAGTAAAAGACACTTGCAAAGACACAAGTGGCAGGAAAAGCTGCCTTAGTCCTACATTTTTGTATACTTGCACCTTTTACAAATAAGTTATCTCTTTTAATTTTTGACTTATGGGAAAATTTTGTCTCTCAGGATGGTACTGGAACAAAAACAGACACAGACCAATGGAACAGAATTGAGAGCCCGGAAGTAAACCCATACCTATATATGGACAGTTAATCTATAACAAAGGAGCTAAGAATACACATTGAAGGAAAGCCTCTTCGATAAGTGGTGTTGGGAAAACTGGACAGCTGCAAGCAAAAGAATGAAATTAGACCACTATTTCACACTGTACACAAAAATCAACTCGAAATGGATAAAAGTCTTGGATGTTAAGACCTGAAACCATAAATACAAGAGGAAAACACTACACGACATAGTCTTCAGAGAAGTCTTTGTAGATTTGTCCCCAACAGTAAGGAAAATAAAAGTGAATATCAACAATCAGAAGAACATAGAACTAAAGAGTTTCTGACAACAAAATAAACAATCACCAAAACAAAAAGACACACTACTGAATGAGATAAAATATTTGCATACATATATCTAAAAAGGGGCTGATAGCTAAGATCAACAAAGAACATATACAGCTAACAAAAAGAAAACTGAATTAAAAGAAGCTAAAGAGTTAAACAGTCACTTCTCCAAAGAAGACATACAAAAGGCCAACAGGCATATGAAAAAAATGTTCATCACCACTTATTGTCAGGGAAATGCAAATTAAAACCACAATGAGATACCACCTCATACCTCTGAGAATGGCCCTCATCAAAAAGACCCAAATCAAATGCTAGTGAGGATGTGGAGAAAAAGTAATACTCTTACATTGTTGGGGGAATGTAGACTGGGTCAGCCCTATGGGAAACTGTGTGGAGGTTTCTTAAGATTAAAATTGTTCTGTCATATGACCCAGAATTTCACTCCTAGGTATCTCTCTTAAAAATATAGATAAAAACACTAATTAGAAGAAAATATGCATGCCCATGTTCACTGCAGCACTGTTTACAAGAGCCAAACTATGGAAACATCCTAAGTACCCAAATACAAATGTGTCAATCAGGAAGACATGGCATATATACAAAATGGAATACTACTCCGCAATTAAAAATATAAACTCTTGCCATTTGCCAAAACATGGATGGAGCAAGAGGGAGTTATGCTAAGTGAAGTGAGTCAGGAGAAAGACAAATACTGGATGCTGTCACTTACACTGGAATATAGAGAAACCAAACAAAGGGTCATATAAAGCCAAACTAACAATAAACCTTACAAAACTGACTACAGAACTGAGGCTATCACGAAGGGGAGGGGAGGGGTGAGAACAAAGTGGGTAGGGAGCACAATGGATCATGGTGGCAGACTATGGGTGCTTAATGGTGGTGCAGAATGTCAACACCATCTGAAGGGGAAGGTCCTACACATCTAAAACACAAAGATTTTTTTTTATGATAAAAACTTCCAACTATATTTCCTTATTGATCAAAAAATAAAAACTGGCTTTCATTAGGGTGCTACAAATTATCAAATATCCAAATTCAAAATTCTATCCTCCTTGGGCCTCCCTGGTGGCGCAGCAGTTGAACGCTGGGTTGCCAAGCTGCCCGCAGCCTCTGCAGTGCCGGTTTGATCCCCGGCAGCTCCCCGGCCACCGGAGGTGGGTCCCACATGGCGCGCAGACCTCTCCTGCCGCCAGCTACTCCCCTCAGCAGTGTATTTCGGTCCTTCTGCCTGCTCTGCTCCCTGTTCTGGCTCTGGTGAATTCTCTCACCCTCCCACCCTTCTGACTGTATCCAGTGCCCGTATAAATAAATAAATAAACAAATAAATAAATCTTTAAAAAAAAAAAGTGTTTTAAAAAGAACAACAAAATTCTATCCTCCTTTATGAGATATTTTTCTAATCAATTAACATTTAATAACTATTACTGTGTATTGACCGTTAAGCGATAGAAAGATGAACAGTCTCATACACTAGTATTAGAAATAAATGCCACCCTTTTGGAAAGTAATTATACAAAATACATCTTGCTTTAAATATGTAAAGTTCCTTGACCAGAAAATTCCACTTTCAGAAATCTACTCTAAATAAGCAACTCAAATAAACAAAAATAATAAAAGGATGGTCTTTCCACCAAAATGCTGAAAACTGACATTACATAAGTATTTAGTTAAAATCCAGCACCACAGTTATTGACACACAAAATATTTTTCTTGTGATAAAAACTTTTAAAATCTATTCTCTTACCAACTTTTAAAAATATAATACAGTATTATTAACTATAGTCTCCATGCTGTACATTACATTCCCAAGACTGACTGACTTTATAACTGTATTTTTAACTCTCTTAAATACCAATCTGTTCTGTTTTTATGAGCTCGGTGTTTTAAGAGTCCATGTATAAATGAAATCATATATTATTAGTCTTTCTGTGACTTATTTAGTATCATGCCCTCAAGATTTGCTTCCCTTTATGGTGAGTAATATTCACGTGTGTGCTGTATTTTCCTTATCCAGGAGGTAACTTCCATATCTTGGCTACTACTGTAAGTAATACTGCAATGAATATGGGGATACATGTATCTTTTTCAATTAGTGTTTTGTCTTCTTTGGATAAATACCCCAAAATGAGACTGCCAGGTCATACAGGAGTCCTATTTTTAGTTTTTTTAAGAATCTTCATACTACTTTTTCACAGTGGCTGTATCAATTTATGTTCCTACCAACAGTATACAAAGATTCCCTTTTCTCCATATCCTTGCCAACACTTGTTAACTCTGGCCTTTAGAACAGTCATTCTTACCACATTCTTATAGGCATCAAAGGTATAGGCTGTTTCTCACTGTGGCTTTGGTTTGCATTTTCCTGATAGTGATTTTGAGCATATTTTCATATACCTGCTGACCATCTTGTAGGTTTGTCTATTCAGATCCTCTGCCCATTTCTTAATCAGATTGTAAAAAAATTTTTGTGTATTAAGTTTAGTTCTTACAATTGAATGAAAAGTAAAGGGTACCTACCTTGACTAGAGCACATGAAAATGGACTAAAGAACAATCAAGAAAGCTTTAGAAATAAAATAATTATTGAGGAATGAGGTATTTATTGAGGGGAGACTGCACAGTTAGAAGATGATAGAGAAGTGGCAGAAACAGTCAAGCTGTAAGGAGTGAAAGCTGTTGTTGGGGTTTGGTAAATGTTAGCTGCATGTCAACAGGGAGTTATTGGGACTATTTTCCCTCATTTCCACAAAGCTCTACTCCCGATGGTTACACTATCTGCTGAGATAAACTTAACAAACTACGATGACAGAGACTGGCTATGGAACAGTAGGTTCTAATTTCAATCACCTTTTGCATTAAGAGCAAAGGTGCCTCTGTGTTCCTTGGAACATGAACACTCTCTTCCTTATTCAGTAGTATATTCTTTCAGTCCTCAAATATACTCCTTTCTTTCCTAGCTCTGTGTCTAATACTCTCCAGCTATCACCTTAGAGAGAAAAGAAATAATAAGTATTTCATAGGCCAACTCTCTCATGAGGACAGAACTTTTCACTCTAACTCACCAGACCACTTATCTTTCCCACAAAGCTCACCCCTTATCTTTCATATGGTCTAATAACTCACACCCATACCCTGATATATATTTTTGTCATGTATAATTTTTGGCAAAATCCTAGCTCTAGGATTATCGCTTTGACGTACTTTTTGATGATCTTCAAAAATCAGGGTTCTTAGTTTGACATTCCCAAGCATCCAATATATTTTGAATGCATCCTCCCTGTTTGAAAGCACTTAAAAAAGATTTTTTAAAGGATCCTACTGGCTTTTGGTTTTAGAATTATTTTGGAAAATTTCAAACAAATATAAAAAGTAGAAAGGGTATGCACTGACTCCCTGTATACACACCTCTCACTTCTGCAATGATAAATTCACAGCCAGGCATGTTTCATCAATGCAATCTATATCACCACCTAGACTCTTCGAAACTCAATCCTATCATCACATTTGTCTGTTTACAAATACTTCAGAGTGTGTGTGTGTGTTAAAAGATGCTTCTTGCTTTTTCTAAATGCTATTTCTCCCAACGAGCTAGTGTTTTTTACGTTTTCACCCAAAAATAATAAACAGAATTATCATGTTCATTAGGGAAATGCATACTAATCAGAAAGTAAGACTCTGTAGAGTCAGTCAAGTATAGCTAACATTTACTTCATAAGGACGTTAAATGAGATGAATTTTATGAATTGCCTAACTTATTTAATTGCTGTGTTCATTCAGTGGCTTCTATTATCACCACACTAAAATTAACCATTAATATTAATAATTATTTTTATTATAAATCATTACATATCTTTAATTCAACTCTTCTTAATGAAGATAACTGGTCTTTTAAAATTCTATTTTCTTCACTTACCTATGTAAATCAAAGCAAAATTATGTATTTGACAGAGCTGAGGCTTGATAAATGCCATTCTTCCCCATCCATCTTACCTCCTTTGACCTGAGTTAAATAAGTCCATGTGGCTATCATGATAAACAAATTAGGTAACAATGAGAAAGAAATGCTTTTGTCTTTATAAAACTTTTCTGTACTTACAATTTTCTGCCGCCTGTTTAATTCCAGGTTCATCCTCTTGTGACTCCGGCGAAAGCCCAATTATATCAAACCTAGAAAATAAAAGAATAATTTTATTCTAAAATAATGTTCTCCTGGCAAGTATATTTTACTAAATTCATGGTATTTTGGATATAAAAGGCAAGTATATTTTACTAAACTCATGGTATTCTGGATACAAAGGGCTAACCAAAGAAATTCTCTTAGAACATGAAAATCAAAATATGTACAGAGGTCAAGCAATTAACTTAAATTCTTTTCATCCTAATTAGAAACAGATTCTAATGTGAGAGTCAACATGCCACACAATTTCTGGATAAGAACATTTAATCCAATCTTATAGTCAAGTGGTAATCTCAACCAACACTAAAAAGTCTGTAATCAATTCTAGCTAATCATTTCCCTTTCTACTGCATCATAAGTCAATACAATGGATTAGTGCTACTTTATCAAGTCACTCTTGAAAATAGGTATTTATACTGATCTCAACCCATATTCTGCCAAACTTTCCACCATTATACTCAAACCAGAGAGCAAAGGGAAACCTTCCTTTGGTCCTTTCTACTGTTCTCTCTTACTCATATAATCTGATTATGGTCTTCAGCAACATTGCATAGAAATTTTAGTTCTAGATGGGAATTTTGCCAGAGCAGGAAGATTTAAGAATCAAAGTGCAAGTGGGGGCAGAACCTCACAGAAGTTGCCAAAGATAAAAAAGAAAGTTAAGAAAAAATGTAGATTAAAAAAAAAGTTCAGGGGTAAGAAGGAACAGTAGAGAGTGCAAGACAATAGACTATACCCTAAGAACAAACAGTGTGGATACAGGAGGGAAGCAAACTCAGAGATGGAACAGTTTCAGCTGACAAGGCCAAAGAAATGACTGTGGGTAACTAAAGTTGAGAGAAGAAAATGTCACTAGGAAAGAGAAGGGTCAAGGAAGTAAAAAGCCAGTCTAGGTCATGAATTGACCATTTAAATGGGACCCTTTGTGCTCAGAAAATAGTGTCAGTTCTTTGTTCCTCTGAGCCACTTCTAGACTGTGATTTCTTCCACCTGCTTTCTCAAACACCTGCCATCAGGTCCTTTAAAAAATGATGACTTTGTGCTCACTTCAACAGCACATATACTAAAAAAAAAAAAAAAAAGATGACTTTGACACCTGATTCATATTTTCATTTCCTCTCTACCTCCTGCTGCCATAAATGGAAAAAAAGAAATCACAGTCTGGAGGTGGCTCAAGGAACAAAGAACTGACTCTATTTCCTAACCATAAAGTATACTGGGAACGCAAGAACAGTGAGAGTAAAGAAATGACTTCCTAAAAAATTTGACAGCTCTCTAGAGGTTGGAAGGATAATGATTTTATGTCTTAATCTGTGTACATGCCACATGGGGTTATTCAAATATTTAATTACCAAAATCAACAAAGGTATATCTAGAAGAAGAAAATATTCTCTACAGTATTTCTATTTACCCATTTGCTCCTGTTTCTCCATCTGTTTGTGCAGCTCCTCAAATTTTTTATCCCTGAATCTAAACTATAAATGCTTATGACTGGAAAAAGGTTAAATTTAAAGTTAATTATAACTATAACTATGTAACAACATCACAGCTAATTAAAAATTGCTATATAGAAAAGCACTACTGATTTTAAAAAGTATAAATAAAAAGTTTTTATTGAATAAGTAAATTCCTACTTACCAAGAAGGCATGGCCATGTTCATATTTAATGTTACAGGCATAACTGGTCTACATGAGAAAGAAACAGCAAAATAAGAATAATAAAGCCTAAAACCTAATAAATCCCATCATATATACAAGGCTTACACAAAACTAAAGCTACAATTTTCACATATGAGCTGTTTCACTGCATCCACATCTGTAAAACTCTGTTCTCCATACCACCCAAGTGTGTTCTGAAGACAGGGCAGCAATGGGAAAGTACTAAGCTCAGCAAACAAAAAATATTTTCTTTTTTCAGTACCCTTACTTAATGCTCTCAAACCAAACATGTGAAGGGCAATCAGTAACCAAGATAATAGGAAAGGTATAAAATATGGTATTCTGGTGAAGGGGGTAAAGAGATAAGCAATTTATTGCACAGATACTGAAGCATCAATTCCTGTGTGCTGGTCACATTTTTCTTTATTTCTAGTTCTTGGGTATGTGACTGCTAGTTTTTAGGAGACTTCTAAATAAGTAAGGGAAATACAAGATTTGCCTAAGTGTTCATTACACCCAATTCAAGTCAATGATGAAAATTTTGCTGGATAATGAATTCATCTAGACACCACAGAAAAATAAATGTGCATAACTACATCTCATCCCTACCTTCCTGACTTATGAAATAAATGTACCTTAGAGATTATGAGGCCTTACTAAATTTCTTTTAGAACATAAACATCCTTGGGTTAGAAAATAGCATTAAGCCAAACTCAATCTTGGGGCCAACAACAATACTGTAAAAAATTCCAATGTAATCAAGAATTCTGTCTCATGCAAGTCAGAATAATAGAGGACACAGTTATCCTAGCCAGAGCATTCAGTTGTAGTTTACAGACATAAGATAAACCCTCTATTTCAGGATAAAGAGAGGAAGGAATGTTTTCTTACCTAATCTCAGACATTCCTCTCCTTCCATTCCCTTTTTCATGTTTATCAGCTCTACTGCTACTACTACTTCTGAGGATGAATTACTAACCTACTAGAATTTATCTAATCCCATTTGTGTTCTCCATGGCTACTGCTTTCAGTAACCTTTTTTATCTAAAACTTGCCAACTATATTGATTTTCTGAATTTACTGAAAACTTACATTTTTACTCACACATTTTAAGAATTCAAAAAGAATTCCTAATTTAAGAATTAAATTTAAATTAAATTTAAAATTTAAGAGTTCAAAATCAAATCTATCAGACTCCAAAGTCTGTGTTCTTTCTGTAGTATACCACATTACCTCAAAACAGAAAATGTAGGAGTATTTTCAACACAGTAAAGATTCTTCACAAACCTGACAGATAAATAACCTTCAGATGCCTCATGGATATATTTAGAACTTAACAGATATTTGATTGGCTAAAAGAAATTTCCTGAGGAAAAAAAATATTCAACATAACCAAGATAAAATTTTAGTTTTAAAGAATTTTTTATTTTAAACTCAGTATTTAAAAGATAAAAAGTTTATCTGAAAAAGCAAAATTATCACAATTCTTTCTTTCCAGATTATGAAGCACAAGCTTAAAGATTAAAAGTACTTACGCATGCGGGCAGATATATTTGATATGTGAACTTCGGATACCTGCAAAGGCTTCTGCCCATCCATGTCTGGTAGAGAAATATTTGAAACATGTCACTAGATATTGTTTTAAATCCCAATGAATTAGTAACAGGATAGTACTTTAAAAAAAAAAATGTTTTAATGATACTCCTTAAAATAGCTTAAGAGTATGGACCCCCAATGCATTAAAACCACTATCCTTTATTGCAGCACTATTTATAATAGTCATGATATGGAAACAACCTAAGTGTTTCAGAACAGATGAGTGGATAAAGAATATGTGGTCTATATGCACTATGGAATACTAGTCAGTGATCAAAAAACAAACTTCCATTGGTGGCAACATATAGAGCTGGAAGGGTTGATGCTAAGGGAAATAAGTTAGAAGGAAAAAAGAAAAATATCACATGGTTTCACTTATATGGAGAATATAGAAAAATCAAACAAAGGGTTACACCAAGACAAAACTTAAAAGCTGACCACATAAGATATGAGGCATCCATGAGAGGAGGGAACAAGGGTGGGGAGACATAAAAGTGGGGGAGAAAACAAGGGAATGCAGTAATGGACTATGAGTGCTTTGGAGGTAGAAGAACTACAGTGACCACACCTGAGGGGAGAAATCCTATACTGTCCTAAAATTAAATAAAATTTAAAAATAAATAAACCATTATCCTGAAACAACCCAATGGCTATCATCTAAGATTTAACTATGGATAAAGATAATCTGTCATGATTTCTAAAGAGCAATGTGGTTTCCTTCATATATTCCTACAGGATTTTATAAATTTTACAGAATACAGTTACACTTTTTTTGTATCTCTTTATAACAACAATGTGGCTAACAAAGTAGACATCATAAGTAATATAATTCACATTTTATATGAAGAAAAAGGGAGTAGGATCAAAACAAGGGTGGTGGGAATTTTATGGGGACTATATGATGAAGAAAATGCATACATTGTACAAAAATGAAAAATGATGTAAAAATATATAAAATAATTAAAAAATAAAAAGTGAAGAGACTCTATAGAATGGAAGAAATATTTGCAAATCATATTTAATAGTCTACCATCCATAATATATAAAGAGCTCTTATAATTCAAAGGCAGCCTACTTTATAAATGAGTAAAGAGCTTCAAAAGACATTTCTCCTAAGATACACAAATGGCCAAAAGTGACAATAAAGATGCTCAACATGATTAGGCATCAGGGAAACAACAAATTCAAGCCACAATGATACAACAGTCCATACCCACTAGAATGGCTATAATAGTTTTTTTTTTTTTTTTAAGATTTATTTATTTATACAAGAACTGGGGTACAGGCCAGAGGTGCAGGAGAGTGAGAGAATTCACCAGAGACAGAGCAGGGAACAAAACAGGTGGACGACCGAAAATACTACTGAGGGGAGCAGCAGGCAAGACAGGAGAGGTCTGCTGCGCCACGTGGGTAGCTCCCTGCCCGGGAATCGAACTGGCGTGGCAGAGGCTGCAGACAGCTTCACAGCGCTGCGCTCAACCCACTGTGCCACCGGGGAGGCCCATTTTTTTTTTTTTTTTTAATCACAAAATCACAAGGGTTGGCAAGGATGTGGAAAAACTAGAATCACTGAACACTGCTGGTGAGAATTTAAAGGGTCAGTCTGCTGTGAACAATAATTTGGTAGTTCCTCTAAAATAACCCAGCAATTTCACTCCTAGAGGGCTGATAGGCACTCAAACAAATCACATATGTAAAATTTATAGTGGCACTTTTCACAAAAGCTAAGAGGTGGAAACAACACAATGTCCATCAGTGGATGAATGAATAGACAAATGCTGGTATATAAAGAAAATGAAATATTATTTAGTCATGAAAAGGAATGAAACATTCATACTCTCAACTGGATGAACCTCAAAAACATTTTAAATGAAATAAACAGGTGACATACTATAATTCCATTTGTATGAAAGGTCTAGAATAGTCAAACCTGTGGAGACAGAAAGCAAATCAAAGGTTACCTACAACAGGATGAGGGAAAAAAGGACAAGTAATTGGGCGTAATTACATAATGGGTATGGAATGTATTCATGAGTTGGTAAAAACGTTCTAGTTTTGGAAGTGATGCCTGCACAACATGGTGAATGTATTTAATGTCAGTGAGCAGTTCACATTAAAATGTATCATTATGTAAATTTCACAATAAAAAAAAAACTCCAATTAAAACTGGCAAAGGACATTTCTCCAAAGATATACAAATGACTAATGAGTTCATGAAAGCATGCGAAACATTACTGTCACTAGGTAAATGCAAATAAAAACCACAATGGATACCACTTCACACCCACCAAGTGTTAACAAAGATGGGGAGAAGTAAGAATTCTCATATATTGTTGGCAAAATCATGCAAAGCTGGAAGAAGTATCATGGTACATGGTTTCTCACCCATGCACTAACAGCTACAAGACATGACTCAGGCTCAGAGTGCAGCAAGTATTTATTAACAAAGGGCAACTGAGTAAAAGGAAAGAATTTCTAAGGCTATACATGGCTATAAGTTCTATCCCAGATAGTGTCTGTAATGTCCAGTAGTTTAAGCCAAAAGTTGTTCATACAGCAATCTGAAGGCCAAGCTGCCTGCAACAGCAAATGCCAGACCAGACAGTGTTGGAGACAACAGTGTTAGGAGGCATGCCAGACATGCTGGAGGCAGGAGCAGCGATGCTGGAGGATCAGAGCAGCGGAAAGCTCTTACAGGCAACCAAATACAGGCGAATGATGCCAGTTAGTACTGGTCAGCAGGTGGTTAGGTTGAGGATTAGTGTTACAGCTCTTTAGAGACGCTGGGCACAGGTCAGTGGCAGACAGCTCTTTCAGAAGTGGTAACAGATCAGGTGCCAGTTAACCGCTCTTCAGAGACACAGGGTATAGGCAACAGTACCAGTCAGGAAGTGATGTGTAGTGCCAGAAGCAGGAACAGCAGTCTAGCAACCTGGTGGTCAGGTGGAGATTTGAAGCAGAGGTCTTGAAGGTCTCAGAGGTTTGTATCCCTGAAGTGAAGGTTCCAGAGGTTTCCATGAAGGTCTTCCTAAGCAAATCTAGAAGTGTGTGTGTCTAAAGCTATCTGAAGCCTCAGGTTACATCCCCTTCAGGGTGCCCATCTTTCAAACTTGATTGGTTGTTTTTAAAACTCGGGTAAGCATGAGCTCAAACCTAAAAAGTCTGTTTACAAAACCCTATCAGTTTCAACTGAAATCCCATCAGCACATCAAACTTGCCCTATGCCAAGGTCGTCCATCTCACACTAGTGTGCAGGTAACTAGGGAAGCTCCACTGTATCTGGTTGCTGAGGAAGGCCCTGCAGTGGGGTCAGGCAAGCTCCACTGCACCCATGATCCAGGAGTTGTAGGGAGTGGGGGGGATCCCTTTACAATTTCCCCACTTTCAGGTCTTGTCACCATTTCTATGGTGTTCAACTGGACAAGCCTCCTGTTGCAATTTCTATAGGTAACACGTGTAATTATTAGGTGCAAAAGGGAAAACATACAATCATACAACTTATGTATACATTTGTTTTCAACCAAGCTTTGCCAAAATCGAGTTTATAAAACTGGGGAATACTGACAGCTGAGGTGTGTGTCACCAGACTGGAACTTGAGAGGTCGTAGAGGAAGACTTTTTGTTGCGGCCTTCTCATAGCCCGATGAACTGTTACAATTTTCTTACTGACCTGACCTAACTTAGGATTTAAAACTAAATAGGTAGCTCTATTATCCACCAAAAAGTCAATCAAATAACCCCCCCCACGTTAATAACTACCCAGCACTCTAATGGGGTTACTGGGCCCCAATATTCAACTAGACCCTTAATTTGGACAACCATTTGCCTTTTATCCTCCCTCTTTGTGCCTTCACACCTTTTACTTTGCCTATACTTTGCCCTGCAATGCTTCTCCAAAACCCTAGCTTTACTTTCAGGCCTGCATCAGCAACCAGATGCAGTATAGCTTCCCGAGCTCCATTGTGCCCAAACACGAGACAGCTGATGTCAGTGCAAGGCAAGCTCTGCCGCACCCAGATCCAGGAGCTGCAGGGAAGTATAGGAGCTCCTCTTGTACTGGTAGAAATATCAAATGGTACAGCTTCTTTGGAAAGCAGTCCAGCATACCCTTAAAAGGTTAAACACGGGGCCTCCCTGGTGGCGCAAGGGGTTAAGCAACACACTGTGAAGCTACCTGCAGCCTCTGCAGCACGAGTTTGATCCCCAGCCAGCCAGGGAGCTATCCACATGGCACAGCAGACCTCTCCTGACTCGCCCGCTGCTCCCCTCAGCAGTGTATTTCAGTCAATCTGCCTGTTCCCCACTCTGTCTCTGGTGAAGCCTCTCCCCCTGGCATGCCTCTAGCCTGTACCCTAGTTCTTGTATGCATAAATGAATAAATCTCTTTAAAAAAAAGATTAAACATGACCCAGCAATTCTATTCCTATGTTTATACCAAAGAGGACTGAAAAATTTTGTTCACTACATATTTAGACTGAAAATGGGAACAATACAAATGTCCACTGATTGATGAATGAATAAACAAATGTGGCATATTCATACAGAAGAAACGTTCATCGTGAAAGTAATGAATTACTAATACATGCTGTTACATGGATGAACCTTAAAAACATCATGTTAAGTAAAAGAAATCAGTTATAAGGGACTACATAGTCTATGATTCCAGTGATATGAAATGTCCAGAATAAATACATTTATAGTGATAGTAGATTACTGGTTACCTACAACTGGAGGCATGGGGGACTTAAGAATGATAAAAAAGTATAAGGTGTTTTGGTAAAGTGATTAAAATGGCTGCATTGAGTTGCATACTTCAAAATGGGTGAACTGTGGTATATCAATAAAACAGAGAGAAAGGGAAGGGTAAAGGAAAGGAGGAGGGGGACAGAGGGAAGAAGAGAGGAGGCCAAGGGTGGGCTGCATGTAGCTATCCCGTTTTAGCAACACCATTTGTTGACAAGTCTTTCCCTTCTATTATATGTTCTTGGCGCCTTTGTTGTATTAA